TGTAATGAGACCTGGTCCAAAATTTTATAGCAATAGCCAACCCTAATTCGATGAAATTGAAATACGTAATAGGAGGGTATCAGTTTCATCAGCAAAAACATGAAATTGTTTATTTTGATAAGGTAAAAACATTTTCTTTCAAAGCTAACAAGTAGTTTACTATGGCATGGTTGAATTGTTTCATGCTCAGTACCTTATTATTAGTAATATACACGAATCCAAACAATACTGGAAACACGAAGGCTTTGACCTTAGTAAAATTAAATTCCCTCCTCTTAGCCTGTTTTTGATAACATCAGTTTCACATATCTGACTGACATAATTTTTCAGCAATTTCCAAGTGGAAATTCTGAAATTTCAACTCCTTGTTTTGATCTGGGATGAAAGGAAACATCGACATCGAAGATCAGTATTTCCTTAGAAACACCAATTTTGAGTTTTGACAGCCTCTAAACTCAAAAATCACTGATTTTTAGCTCAGGGATCATGTCATCTGTTTTTCTCAGGAGAAGAGTCGATGCTGCAATAACATGTGATCTATATACTGCTTTCTTTGTTACAAAAATATCTATAATTGAAATCTCTCAGGATCATTCTGTTTTTCCTTACATGTACTGCTAGCTTGTCCTACAGAGCCATTGATCCATTTCTCTGATCAGGTCTGGTGGTCTTTTATCCATGTGTTGTACAATGATTCAAGCTCTAGGGCTTCTTATGGGCCAACACATCTAAACCAAAAAATGTTACTTTTTTGAATAGAGCGCTATTCATCTCCCTTTCTTTATCCACTCTGCCTAGCCTTAAAATTTTGTTGCTAGGATTTATATGATTATCTTTCTGCAGATGGATGAAGACAGTTGCACATTCACTGTCATAGAGCAGATAAAAATATGTGCTTGCCTGCTATTGGGTACCTATACCCATGTTTTTTTAATCAGTGTTCATCCTCTTTCCGCATTTCTTTTATGGGAAAATATTAGAAAAGATGAACTTAGCAAGAATTTAATTACTAGATGCACTTACTAAACTATCCTTTGGGAATCATATAAGTGACCACAATACATGTAGAAGCTACTTTCATCTACAGTACACTAGCTGCTTGGGAGCTATTTCTGCCTGAAGAATGTGTTCCTAGAGCACATTCTCAGAGGCCCTTCTCCTCCAGAACTGGGCAAAGTTTTCTATCTATCTCAGCCTTTTCACAGAAAAACACAAAATAGATTTGACAAAACCAGTCCTGCAGAAAGTCACATGAGTTTTGCAAACCCTTCATCTTGATTAAAAATGAAAATTATGAGAAAAATGAAATGCTCTGTCACTTCAAATAAAAATGGTATTTCTTTTCCACAGTCTCAATTTTACTTTTAAGCCAAAACTTCTAAAATGTTCAAATACACAAATAATGTTTTATAGCAGGTCAAATGAAATACTTCATCTGATTCAAGACTTTTTTTGGACTTTTCAATTTGCCAACTTCGTGAGTCAACCCAACATTATTTTACTTATTTTCTTGAATTGACAGCAAACAAACACAAGTGAATCCGTTATTCACACAGCTCTCGTTGCAAGTGTTTCTTAAAATACAGAGAGTTTGGTCATGTGAGTGAATGACCTCCCATTCCAGATACACTCCTTCTTGGCTATCTTCCCCAAAAGATTTGATTTTTGCCTTCCCACCCTAAGTTTTACTTCCCTCGTGTTTATTATTTGATAAAGTGCCAGCAAATGTACTTGCAGGAGATCAGCAATACACCGAAGATTATTTTCTTGCAGTGTTAGTGGGATTCTTAAGCTGCTTGTGGCTTTTTTGATGTTGAAGTAGATTTTACTCTACTGTCTGTCTGGGATATATCACTGTTACAGCTTGAGTGCCAGAAGTTGTGTGCACAGACTAGGCTAAAGGATAATTGCAATTGGTAGATATAAGGAGTTATCTGATGCTCTCCCTCTGGTTAGACTTATTATTTATGGAAACAAATCCAACAAAATTCATTACTGATATAACAATACTTAGCATATACTTAACGTATCCATGGAGATTTCGTTTTCAGTGTGAAATGCAAATGTTAAATGCATTTCCCTTGACAGGCCCCCTGATAAGTAGAAGGTGACTAGGAATACAGTAGCACTTGTTCAGATGGCAGAACCGAAACCCTGGCTGTGTACAGGAAAATGCAGCGTGGCAGATTTGGATCAGTGCTGGGAGCAGAACTCAGGAGTTTCTGCAGTCCAGATGAGTCCATTAACCTACGCTGACACCTCAAAGTCCTCAGCTAATACCGTTTGCCTAACCGATTACTTTCATTGAGTTACCGCACGGAGCTGTATGTTTCTGAAAGAGTATTTACGACGTGGTGCTTAGGAGATTCTTTTTTGCTCCCTTGTAAGGTGAAGCTCAGAGAAATGAATGGAATTGATCGATTGCAGAAGAAAAATCGCAGCTCCTCCGGCCCTTCTGAGAAGGAGGGAAAGGTTAACTTACCTCTTTTACAAGTCCCTCTTTAACCTTCCCATGTAACTGTGAAGAGCTGCAGTATGTTAAAAGCCACAGGTGCCAGTGCAGGCAGCAGCTCAGGTATTAAGCTGAAGGAGCGTTACATTAGCTTTTTAGCCAATTAGCATGGCTCTAGGTGGCACCATCGGGAATAAATCTCTGAAGTAAACAGTTCACAGAAACCCAGCAGGCAGCTCTAGAGATTGTTGCATTTCTACTGTACTTCATTAGAAAATAAACATATAGCTTCCGTCTCGAGCACAAAGCAAAACAGCGCTAAAACAGATCTCTGATGATTAATACAACTGTCTCTACTAAACGACACGTTTGCAAGAATTGTGTGAATCACTGCAAGTAAAAGGTTGTGAAAACTTCAGTGACAGCAATTACGTGTTGGCACAGCCAAAACAACTGTTCCTGAGTTAATGTGAAGTTGTATTATTTTATTAGTATGTGTTTGCAAAAGCCTGCTTTGATAGCCTCGCTAATATCAGCTACCATGATTCAATATGCAGAGAAGAGAGCAAAACATGCATTGGCAAACTGGAATAAACCAGTCAGTTTTAGCCTGCTTCTGGAGCTTCATACTTTGCTTTGTTTATATTTTTCTCCATTAGAGACCCACAGCAGGAGCTGTAAAATTCGTCATCGCTAGGTCCATTCCTGCCAAGGGCTTGTTGAACACGATAGGATATAGCATAAAAATGTTAGGCCAAGCTACTAGAGCCGGTGCTGATACTTCCAGGATTAACTATCCACCTTCTTCCTCCTTAGGGTCATTTCCATATTCAGAGGATGGTACCTAAAGACAGAACGGCTAAGAAGGACAAAGGCACCGAGCAGCTTCTGAAGTCCCAGCAGCAGGAAGAGCTGCGGTTTCCCAGAGCCCCTCTCCCCACTGGCGCAGCTCTGCTGGGGGCACCAGGGGAAGGGCTGGTGCGGTGGCTTGAGGCTCCCTGCTGGGCTCGCTCGCCTGGACTGGGCGCCTAGAGTGATGTCAGGACTCCCCAAAGCTCCTCGGCAGCCAGGCTCCCGGGCGAGCCGTGGCAAACTATGGGGAATGCATTCGTCAGCCATCTGAGAAATTAGCAGTAAGCATGCAAACACAATCAGCAAATACGTGGCTCATGGGAAATTTGGATTTTATGTGAGAACAAATGGCTTATCTTCAAGAAATTTGCATAAGTGTACAGGGAAACAGATCACTTGTCACGAAAGCACCTTCTGTTATAAATAAGGTATTTTCGGACTAATCAAATTTTCCTATTTTATATACCAGAAAATCTTAGCAATTAGTGCAATAATTACAATAATATAATTAGTTATGGAACATTCAGAGAAACTTGCATTTGCAAAGTGTTGTTCAAATACGTAAATAATAGAACTAGATACGACTACAGGATTGAATCTGACTGTTTTTAGCTGGCTTAACACCACTTGATCTTTTCTAGAAGGGCTAATGTGGATACAGGAAACAGAATACCGCATTTTGTATGCTTCTCCCTGTGCTAATTAGCCTTGCTAGGAGACAGATCGTCAGAGGGAGCAGAGCACCATGCTTCTGCACGTAGCCGTCTCGGGACATGTAGTTCAGGTACCTCGATGCAGTACCACACTGTGCTGAAGAGATGTACCATGCACCGCAATTATGCTTGTCAGCCTGCTTGCTCCATAACGAGTTAGGGAGTTGTTCTGATGAGTAGGACTTTTGGATATACACAGTGATGACAATTAAAATGTTGGTATTTGTCAACAGTTACTTCAGCAGAGGCATTACCTAACAAGCCACAGCCTGCTGTATACTTGGAACTGAAATAACCATGGTAACTCTGGGTATCTAGTGACATTTTAATGACCACTACCGCTTATCCTCAGGCCATCACTTGCAGAACTAAATGGCACATCAAGCAGCAGATGAATAAAGTGGCATTTATACAATGCACGAAAAATGTTAAGCACTTCTATGGATTAAAGCCATTTTAAACTACCTCAGAAGAAAAAAGGAGAGATAAACATATTACAAAAGCATGTATTGTGAGGAAATAATGAAACTACCATATCCTACTGCAGCAATTGTCACTACAAAGTCAGCGTCTACAAATAGCTAGCACAAATTGGCATCTAAGATAGCAAAATTATTTCCTATTTTAAGTGTAAGTGCCTCTTACTACATACTGACTTTATAAATGGCAGCAGCAGTATCGAAGGTCTTTCATGCTCAGTCACTGCCAAACTGCAGCAGAAAAAATATTTGTAACAAAATACAGCAATTCTCAAGCCACGAACAAGATGAAATTCAGTGTTTTATTAACGCTTTCATACAATCTCAGACTTATTTTTAAAGAAAAATATGGTGATATCCTCTATTTTACTATTTTCCACCATAGATATGCAACGTTTAGTTTCTTAAGGCATTCAGTAATTACACTGTTCTCTTCATGATGAGGAAGAGGATTGGTGTGTATATTAACATATCTGTTAAACAGTCTTTAGAAGTTTCACTTACCAAAATGAAGAGACAGCCAGAGGCAAGTTTTGTGTGTTCAGGTATAGTAGAAAACACGGACAAAATCAAGCAACCAAACACAAGGAGAAAACTGAAAAAGAAAGAACATTAAACATTGTTAATATCTTTTTCAGAACACTGACTCAATATGTATATTGATCCTGCTTCACCAATAGACTTCATTAATAAAAGGGAATTCAATTACTCCTCAGTTCATTAAGGACATTAGAATAGCCTTTTCATAAAACTACATACTTCTGAGCAGCGCTGGAACAATCTCTGATAGACTTAACAAAAACTACAACACAAGAATCAAGATTTTCTTTGGGAAATGACCCAGTATTTTTGGCACATTTATCTAGTCCAACTACTCTTAGGGGCTCTAAGAAAAGATCATCAATAGGAAAGATCTCTCCTCAGGCTGAAAAATCATTTCCCCCAGAATTGACTTTGGATATCTGCTGTATAAGCTTATCAAAGAGCTAAGACACATAATCCATCTAACTGCCATGCACAACAATTGCTTTTCATTTTTACCATCTTACACAATTTCCTTCCGAACAACAGACTTCATATACAAATTAGCAGAGATTCAAAGGTAGCTGAGTTATGGCATCACTGTCCTAAATGACCAAGTTCCATTTTGGGAACAAGCTTAAAATCATACAATGAATTAAAGAAATTAAAAGAAAGGAGTGAAGCTAGATGAGCTTGCACAAGTCACGTGATCCTGACCGGGAAAACGTGCCTGCAATTTCGGCCGTGTGGACGAGCTTACTTGTTTCACGGGACTGACAGACGATCCATGCAGGCAAAGCAATGCATGGACACACTACTCAATCTCTTTGCAAGGAAGATGCAACTAGCTGCTGTCACTGCAGAAATTCTTGCATAGCCCACGTCTGATCTTTACAGCATACAGTACATACGTGGTATTTACAGCTGTGAGCCTAAAGAGTTGGTATTGCCCTGAGGTCTATACCAAGGATGATAAGGAAGTTCCTCTGCTGTTGCACTGCTTTGCCAATAGCAACACCTCTGCGCTGGTGAAAACCTGATGTCTGTGAAATGCATCAGAAGAGATGTTAATTTCACCCACGATGCCATGAACTGACTAGAATCAGTAGCCAAGCAGCACACCGAATAAGACCATCTAATGTGCAAGGCAGTGCATATTCTACAGATTACACTCTAGTTCACACACTCTTCAATCATCTGATGAGTTTCCATTAACAAATACGGTCGTTATTCTGAAGACAAAGAAAGCAGCTTTTCAGAAAAGTGCCCCAGGGTCCTGGTGGGCAAGCTGCATGTCAGTCAGCAAGGTGACCTTGTGACAATGAAAGCTAACCACATAATGAGCTGTACTAGCAAGAACGTTGTTGCGGGATTGAGAGAGGACATCTGGAGTGTTGCGTCCAGTTTTGGGCTCCCCAGTACAAGAGACCCACTGAAGTGAGCCCAGTGGAAGGCCACCAAGATGGTCGGGGGCTGGAGGTCAGGATGGAGAGGAGGGGCTGACGGGGCTGAGTTTGTTCGGCCTGGACAAGAGGAGGCTACGACATCTGACTGTTGTCTTCAACTATCTAATTTTGGTTATAGAGAAGACAGACAAGGCACAATTTGGAGGAAGGAAAATTATGACTAGCTGGAAGGAAAAGATTCACAGTGAGGGTGGTTCAGCATTGGAAGAAGCTGCCCAAAGAGAGGCTGTAAATCTCTGTCCTTGAAGACTTGCAAAACTCAGCTGGAAAAGGGCCTAATCTAACTTGGAAGTTAGCTTGGCTTTGAGCAGGAGGTTGGACTAGATGACCCGAAGAGACCCTTTCCAACCTACATTCTTCTCGAATTTTAACTACTGGAAACAAACTTCAGTATCATATTATTGCATCAGCCCACACTTTCCCTTCAGGAACTAAAACTGATCTTATAACATATGGACTTTTCAATAAGATGATAGTGCCTTAGTGTAATATATCCAGTACATTCAATGAAAATGTAAGTCCATTTCTTCTGAATTTTTATTAGAAAATCTGATGTGCACCATGATAAGATACTGGAAGCAAATTTTGTTGCATTGCCACTTAACTGCTAGGAAGAAGGTCCTGCTTGAAAATCGTATCTGAAAGGAGCTTGCATATAAACTCTATTAAGAACTAAAGATAGATAAAGATAAGGCAGCTGTTCAAAAAGTAGTGGTTTGATAGTAAGTACCTAGGAAGGTAAAGCAGTGCCTTTCACACGCTATTCAAGTCTTTCTTCAAGACCACAGAAAGATAAAGATCAGCCGATACATGCTTAAAGTTTTCATAAAAGCCTAATTCAAGTGACAATGACCCACCCTGCGACCAGTCTTACCCCGCTCTCCCCTCCCTTTTTTTTACGGAAAGTCTCCCAGAACATTACTGGTAGTTTCAACTGCTCAAGGTCTTCAGATACAAACTCGCTGTAACTAAATCCTACTGGTACAGGCTTAGATGTTGTTTCTCCCAGTTAAGGCTTGCATGGAGGACAAAATAAAATTGAGAAGTGACAGTAAGAATCTACAGTAAAAGGATGTCATTTCCTTTGCTGATTTTTTTTAGTCCTGAATCAGTTAAAATAATATTTTCTTGCTTCCTTTGTGTTTAGGTATTAAAAACTGCTCTTGTTTAGTTGTATTCCAATAATACCAACCAAAATTGAGGCCCAGTTGGACTGGAGCTTGTCCAAGCACACAGTACAAGTTTTCACTTGGAAGAGATTTCTTATAGCGCAATTATAGAAAACAGACGTGGTAGGAAAAAAAAGAAAACTTGTTGTTCCCATATCACAGCTGGAGACGACTGCACAGAAAAGGTAAGGGACGGGCCGAAGGCTACTCAGAAAGTCTTTGGCAGAACTGCAGAATAAACCTGAACCTTCCTCTGTCCTAGCCCAGTCCTGCCATCACGAAACCATCCTCCCGCTTAAGCATTTACGATGAACTGCCATCCTTCCTCAGGACTGTGATTTAGGTCAGTGTGGGCAATGTCTTGTTAGATTGGAAAAGTGAGTCAAGAGAAAGAACCAGTACAGTTAAGCAACGCATTAATCAAAATAAAGTAAATACTCAGGAAAGCCAGGTGCACAGTTTACATTAGCACCTGGGCAGACATAGTTTTGCAGATTATTCATGAAAAGCAGAAACAATCCCCACAGTAATACATAAGAATAGTCTTGGCAAGATATTTTTCCAAACCTCTACAACCTTTTGTTTTCACTTTTTCCAGAAGCTTTACAAGAAATGGGACATTGTTACTAATCAGCATTAGAGAATAAAAGATAAACGTCTGCATTTATCCACCCACGCACTTAGATATTGCCCCTCTATCCCTCATTCCTCCCTCTACCACTGAACACTTGTTTACTGCCATTCAGCACATGATGTCTAAAATTAAACTGCAAGCACTTTGGAGGAGGGGAGAAACTTGGACCTTCTATTAGTCTTGCACAGCCAAAAGCACACTTTTGGGTGCTGTAAAACACAACACTAGCAACAAAAGTAAAAGGCTTAACTGCTCAGGAATATTTTATGCAGTTTATTTACCACTGATGAGCTTTCCTTCAAAATAAACTAACAGCCAGGATTCACCTTCTACCTTTTTTATGCTAAATCTGTTACTTGGGCAGGGAAATGAAAGTGGCTCTCTATTTCCATGGCAAGAGCTGAAGGCACGGAGGATGCACGCAGCGCCTTTCCCCGAGCTGAACACCAGCAGGGATCCGAGCAGACTGCTGGAGCGCCGCAGAAACAATGCCATAAGACTAAGGTTCAAATGCTGCAATGGTTGAAGTGTACCAAAACTTGTTTCTTGCTATCATGGCCGACTTCTATGATGATGGATGAAGTGTAGAGGTTTTTATTAAGCCCCGTACAGTCATCTTAGGCGCCTTAAAAGAGGAGGAAGTATTTTCAAATGCCAGCATTTGAACTATGTGCTATAATACATGCTATATAAGAGGATGCTGCTGTAGGTACACAACAGTACAAGGCAAAACACAATGCAATTATATTTGGCCTCTAGTGGTTCAATCTGGATAGTATATTTGCTCAGGCTGAAAAAAACAGATGGTCTTTTCTCATGCATTCAGTATCAGACAGTAAAACACATGCCTTAGGCAGCAAGTTCCCACAAAGTTATTCAAGCACTGCCACAGTCTTATATTTTATCAAAAGCAGCAACTTTCATTTTGTTTCAACAGTAATCAATTTTGACGCAGCTCCTTTCATCTTATTGCTCTGCTTCTGAAAGCATACACTAATTGAAGAAAAGCCAATTTATGAAAGATAATATAACTCAGAAGCTTTGATATTTATTCAATCCACTTCTCATAAACTTTTCTTACTAGCTAATTAGGAACTACCAATTCTTCATTTATTTAATTTTTTCCTTTTACTACAGTTGATGATTTCAGGGATGGTCATATGGCAGAAAATGTTCAGCTTAAAAAATCGTTACAACATTAGCCAGGGAATATCATCATAAGCATAAAATATGTACCCAGTGAAGATGTTTAAAAGCTATTTTGCCACATTATTTAGTGCTAGAATTAAAATAATCTGAAGTTAAACATCTGCAAACAGTTTTCTGACCTCTTCTGTAAATAATAAAAGTGTATCACTGTTAAAACGACATAATTAAGCAATTAGACCACCAGAGTTACGTTCCAGTGTTATTTGAGGTCTAATTTAATCCCCATAAGAGCAAGGCTATTTAGGATTAGGACCATAGCTGTTTGTAAACCACTCGCAGTGCCATTGGCCTGGTATTTGTATGTAAGGGGAACAAGTGTTTGAAAGCTTTTGCTATTCTTAACTATGCCCAGGAAAATAGCTTTTTCTTTTCCCGCTGGTACAAAGTCAGAACTAATGAGACGGTTGCGAACCTACAGCAAGCTGATTACATTCAGGAGGTCTGAGTCTACAACGAAACAAGCAGAGCTCCTCCGTAATCCCTCCGATAGCCAGAAATACTGCTGGAGATGTTTTCTTCACAGTGCTCAGGATCTTGCTGGGTTGAGTACCAAGTACCAACTTTAAATTAGTTTTAATTATTGAATGCATAAAAT